AATTTTAGACTCACTAAGCAAAAAGGGAAAAAGCTATTAAATAAAAAAAATGAAAGAGAAGTTATAAGAGACATCAGCAATACAGAAGGTCATAAGAGACTACTCTGAGGATCTTTATGCCAACAAATTATAAAATCTGGAATTTATCTAAAATTCTAAGATAAATTCTTAGAAAACATATAATTTTATAAACTGAACCAGGAAATAATAGAAAATCTGAATAGACCAGTTTCAGGAAAGGAAAATAAAATGTAATCTAAAACATCAGGACAGGATGCTTTTCTTAGTGGGTTCTACTAGTTTTGATTCTGCAAATCAAAACCACAGTGAGATACTACCTCACACCTGTGAGAATGTCCATATCAGCAAAATCAGAAACAACAGATATATTTAAAAAGGAACCATAGTATACTTTTGTGGAAGTATAGACTGGTCCAGTCCTATGAAAAGTGTATGGAAGTTCTAAAAATATTAAAAACACATCTGCCATTTGACCCAGGAGTCTGTTTGAGGAATACAAAAACACTGCACTCTTAGGCTCACAGCTGTAAGATTTATGTTTGCCAAGTGGTAGAAACCAAAGTGCCCAAAGACAGATGAGTGAATTGATTGATGTGGTATAGGACACCTTGGAATACACCTCAGCTCTAAGAAAAAAGATGAACTCTTGTCATCTGGACAGCATAGATGAACTGGAGGGGATTATGCTTAGTGAAATAAGTCAAGGAAAAAGCCAGATCCTGCATGGTTTCACTTATAAATGGAGTACACAGAAACAAATAAAGCATCAGGGGCCACCCTGATGGCACAAGAGGTTAGGTCTCAGCACAATGAAGCTTTTGACAGCCACTGCAGTACCCAGGGAGCTCCCCACATGGCACAGCAGACCTCTCCTGTCTTTCCCACTGCTCCCCTCAGCAGTGTATCTCAGGAGATCTGCTTGTTCTGCTCCCCACTCTGTCTCTGGTGAATCCTCTCACCTTCCCTTGCCCCCTTCTCCACACCTCTGGCCTATACTCCAGTTCTTGTATGCATAAATAAATAAATAAAAATAAATCTTTAAAAACAGGAAAACCACACAAAATATCAGACAAAACTAAATCAATCAGATTCCTAGAAATATGACTGCAGAATCGAGGTTACCAGAGAGGAAAAAAGGGTGTAAAGCAAAGGGGAGAAGAGGCCCAGTGGACTGTGGTAGAGGACTGTGGTGCCTTGGCAAGTATGGTACATATGTGTAAAGGTTTGTGAGCCTATAACTCTGAATCTCATACAGTGTTGTAAACATATGTTGCCTCAAAAGAGATCTTCTTTTTCCTATGATAACTTTCCTTCTTGTATTTCTTTATTCAGTTTTTTTTGAAAATTCAATTCACGTATTTCATCTCTGCTCCTTATATTTTATATCTACAAGTCGTATTCAACATCCATTAATTGCTTTGTTAATAGTCATCCACTTTCTGAGCAAACACCTCAAATTGGACCTCTCAGTGATTCCCAAAGATTGGTGTGTAGATGGTTGCCAGACAGAATGCATCAAAATCACCAGGATACTGAAGAGTAGTTTTTCAATCCTCATCTCCAGAAATACTGAAATCCATATAATGGTGATGAAAAATGGGGAGACTAAGAAGGAAATCCCTGTTGAGCAAGAAGCATAAACAGAGAGAGAATATGGAGAGAGTAGGAGGATTTAGTGTGGGAGTAAAGTTAGTAGTGAATTTAGTTTTGTCTCTGTTGACTTTGCGATGTCTGTGGACTACTGGCTCAAAGTTTACTTCTACATTAACTGTGTGTTCTGTGTCAGGTTCTTAGGGGGAAAGGATTCCCTGAAGGAGCTCCACACAGGTTTTGTGGACTCCACCCCTGAAAGGAAAAGTCAGAAGGAAAGATGGATGCCGTGAGTCTGTTCACCAAAAAAGGAAGAAGAAGAAATGCTATTTTATTTCAGAGCTGAACTTTTATACACATTAAAGGTATCATGTTAAGTGCCCACTGACCGGGCCACGGTCAGGGGGAGAGAGAGGCAGGAGGAGTAGAGTGTCCGAAAAGAAAAGATACAATAAGCAGGACGGACTAAGCCCATGGCCATATCTGGCAGGGAAAGACGGCCAGGCCCAGCTGGAGCCAAGGACGGGGCCCAGAATTGCAGAGTCAGCCAAACTGTTGTCCAGACCAAAGCCATCAAGACATGGGAAACTAAAAACCTTATCATCACCGAAGGAAGGATTGCTGGGACCTGAGGGTGAGTTAAGCAGCCAGGTTTGGTATAAATCTAGACAAGTGGGCCTTGGGGGTGCTCTTGCCTCTTGAGCTCTTGGCTTTTTGCTTGTTCTCAGTGTGCTATTGGGATTCCAGGTCAGCAGAACTGGTAGGACACATATACCAATTTATCTCCTTTCTACTCCTTGAAATATTCTTTTCTTCATTTCCCCTTCTTTTGTAAATAAACCCTTTATTAACATTTGTGCGAGCCTGAAGTTGAGTTTTCATCTTGGGGGCTAGGTTTCAATATGTGAATTTGGGGGAGGATAAAAAAATTCATCCATCAGTGTCTGAAAAGATGACCAGGAGGAGAAGGTGTCGAGAACATTCAAAGTAAAGGGCATCACATACCAGAGGCTCTGCGATCGGGCAGAATGGTGGTCACAATAAGGACCGCACTGTGACTGGAAGCTAAAACATCAAGAAGGAAGTGCAGGCGATAAAGAAGAAGGAGGAACAGGGCTGGAGGGTGTTTTCTGTCATGTCTGAGTTTGTGCTACAGTTGGATGTTAGAGGAGGGCTGAGGTGAGCTGCTCAGGAATTACTGAAATAAGAAATGAGGAAAGATGAAGCCTGCAGCCAGGGCAAGGAGGGCGTTCATGTGAGAACTTTGAGAAAGTAAAGCCAAAAATTTGGTCATGTGTGGGTGTCAGGGGTGACAGATAGGAAGAGTCAGAGGTGCCTATCGGATTTCTAGTGTAAACGACTTGGTGGGTGTTAGTGCTGACTGTAGAAAATGAAGATAAGATAAAGTCACTGCTCACTAGGGGTAGGCCTGGGATGCCAGCCCTGCCTCTTCTCACACACAAACTCTCAGAAAAACAATCCAGTGGGTTATAGATGATTTGGGACTGGGGATATATATGTCCTTTTCTTGCCATTCCCCAAACAAAATCAAGTTATTTATTTATTTTTAAATTTTTTTTTAGCACCATCTTTCAGAGAAAAGTGAAAAATGAGAAGCTGGATTTTATTGAGATGTTTTATTATTTAAATTTAATTTTTAAAATTTTATATATTTTTTACATCATTCTACATTTTTGTACAATGTATGCTTTCTCATCTCAGGTATAGTCCTCATGAAATTCCCACTAACAATTCACCCCTGCATCATCACCATTGCTCCTTATGCTCTCCCCACCCCTATTTTGAGCCTAGGTCCCCCATTTCTCCCCCTGTAGAAATTCTCTGATTTATAATTGCCTGTTGATTGTGATTTTTACTTTATTATAATTACATTTTTTTTTTGATCCCTTATTTGGATCCTCTACATGAAACTGTCTTTATGTGTGTATGAAGTTGTGATAGGAGTTGACCATGAGAATTACCATATAAGCAAACAAAACAACCCTGAAGGGAGACGACTAGAGAAGTCTACCCCTGGGTTTGTATTTGGAACAGAAGTCTTAGGTGGGGTTCACACAACTGGAGGCTGAAAGTGGGCAGGGAACCTGTGGGACCAGGCTGAGAATTTCCATGGCGACAGGAAATGGAACAAGATAACATGCTAGGCCATGGTGAGGAAAATCGGTGACGAATCAAAACATGAAGCTACTCTGGAATTGAATGTGATTCAGTTTTTAATATACTTGACCAAATCTTTCTCACACTTCAAGTTTGTTTTGCCCAATGGCTACTTTCTATGTTATATGGTGTATTGAATCAGAGGCTGAGAGCTCAAGGGTCATGTTATAAGTGGGCCTGATAAAAAGCAAAATGTTCCTCTGGTAATTTCTGGTTGGTATTAATCTTCAAAAGAAGTTTGAGTTTGGGAAGAGAGTGGACATTCTAGATTAAAAGCAATGTGTTCTCCCAATATTTCTTCCTTCCTGTCAAACCTCATGTTTGATACTTGGGAGTGTTTTGTCTTTTTCTTATGTGATCTTTAATAATGACAAGCCAACTCCAATAGCCTTGGCAGGCTATTGTTTTGATTTACTTAATGAATTTTGGAACGCTTTTGTCCAGAGAACTGGAAAATAGTATGAGAGCCTTAGTTCTCCATTGCCTTGAAAGTAAGTAAAATCGATCTTTTGAACTTGGTGTAAGTCTTGGGTGCCGTTATTCAAAGCCATGCATTATTTTGTTTTCGATGTGAATTTTAAAACACTGTCAAATAGGGATGAGCTGCAGTCATTGAAATATTAATGAGAAAGAATAAAAACAACTTTCCCCCAAACTTTATCACTGTAAACTTTTTATTACAAGAGTTTAACAGAACAGTTAAAATGTCTTTCATGGAAACCCCAATAACTTATAAAATCAGTTAATAAATATGAAATTAGGTTTAATCTTTCTTTTTCAGTCATATTATGCAACCCTGACAAAGAATAAATAATCTCATATATATACATAGTGCAAACCTCAGAAAATTTTCACTGCCATTTAATCTTATTGAGGATTTTTTAGGCAGAACAGGTCATCATAGTATCTAGCCTTCCTTTACAGGATTAAATAAATAGATCCATAAATAAGTCATATAAATATAAATAATAAGCCTCCCAGATCTGGAGTCTCCTTTAAAAAAATACAAATTAAGGCAGCTAATCCATTAAAATGGAGTCCAAATGTGTATCAAGGAATATTAAAAACATAAATAACTTAAGGCATTTAGGAAAATGAAGTAGAAACAAATTGTTACTCAGTCTAAAATGTGCCCTTTGTGGAGAGGGAACAATGATTCAGGCTCCATCTCTGAAACTGCTTCTGGGAGCTGTGGGTCTGACCCCAAACTCTTAAATCACCTGCTGAACGATTGGGGGGACACAGGTGCAGCCCACAGCCACCAGCATCTTCTCCAGCCGGAAGGAGTGGGGACAGTGTGGGGGCTCCCTGCGCAGGACCAGGATCTCCTGCTTGATGGCCACGGAGTTCATGTGGTGGTCCTCTTTCCCTGCAGCATTGATGCAGCCATCATGGCGGCATTTAGCTTCCCAGATCACAGGGGGGTATCTCTCAGGGTCCTCATTGCGACTACAGGGAGACAAAAGGCAGAAGGAAAGTGAAATCCTGGAGGAGCAGAAAGGAAATCAAACAGCAATAAATGAAGGGAGGCAATTTCATTGGGTGACAATGTACAGAACTGCAAATTCCCTAACTACTATTAGTCTGAAGAAAACTTCATTTTAAGCAAAAGAAATGTTTTAAAAGAGAAGCAAATGATCAGTTTGCCCGAGTTTCTTTGAAGAATGGACAACATGAGATAACCTCAAGAAAGGATTTAAGTTTGACATAATGGGTAACTTTTTAAGGTTACATTGGACAGCAGGGAAAAAAACAAATAATTATTTGAGAATAGGTAGCTATTTATCTCATTTCATGACACCATTAGAAACAGGGAATGTATCAATTTTTTATCTGAGTGCATTTTTCATGGAAGACACTAGAATGATATAAAGGGCCAGAAAGCAAAGCTCTTGCCCTTATATACCTTTCTGTTTTCTCTCCAATTGAAACCTGCTTTGTTTTAACTTTTGCATTTATTTGAGCTATTCTTAATAATGGGAAGAAGAGAAGAAACCCTATAGTCTAGACGACTCTAGATTCCACATAAATGAACTATATTTTTATTTAATGCCTGTTGGGGTTTAAATATTATATGAACTAGGGGTAAAGCAAATATGGGTCTGTTGGGATATAGATCACAACTAATTCAAAAAAGGTTAGAAATATCCAAGATGATACTTCTTCACTGGGGTACAGGATGTATTTTTCCAGTGCTAGTGTGACCAAAAATTCACAGAAGGATTAAGTAATTTCCAGTTATTTTCAACAATAGAAGCTTTGTTAGGGGGAAAGGAAGTCCTGAATGAACACTACAGAGACAGGTCTTGTGAACTCCACCCCTACTCCAGACACTGAAACTACCACTCCCAGCAACACCAAAGCAAGGACTTTTAGGACACGAGGGTGGAGTTATTTAGGTTATTTATTTAAGCCTGTAAAGAAAGGCTAGATACTATGAGATTTGGCTATAAAGGCAGACATGTTGGGCTGAGGGTTTCTCTCTCCCTTGGCCTCGTGGCTGGCAGCTGGTCATTTGGCTCTTGATCAACTTTCAGTGTGTTATTAGGGTTCCAGGTCAGTGGAGCTGGTAGGATGCATTAGTTAACTTGTATCTCTCTCTCTCTCTCTTTCCCTGGGTTGTTGCTTTTCTTTTCCCCTTATAAATAAATCCATTATTGACTTTTTTTGTGTGTGTCTGAAGTGCAGTTGAATCTTAAGTGTGTGGGTGATATAAGACAGGCAACTCAATTCACTTTGGGTTGCCCTGTAACAGCTTCTCAATATTTGCTGTGGTGAAAAGAATTCAAGCACTAATTCCTTAGAACACAAGCTTGTTTTTTTTTTTAAAAAATAAATAATACACTTGGGGTCTCATCAATATTAGAATGATGGCCACCATTAATTTAGGTGGGTTTTGGTGTTCATGACAATGAGATCTATCTAATTGGGTAGGTATTGTAGGTGCTGGAGGTGGGGTGTCCTGTAGTCTGTCAAAGAAAGTGTGTAGAATAAAAATTTGAAGGTCTTAATTCTGCAGAGTGGCCCTCCCAGCCAATCATCCAGATTGCCTGCTGATTCTGACTATCGTTCTCCTTGAGGTGGCTGTCTGGTGCATGAAAGTTAGAATCAAAGGTTTGATCTGGGACCATTACTTACTGGAAATCCCAAGGTGAGGTGGATCGGTGGTTGTAAGTTGCAAGCCGTCTGGAATTTGTTTTCCGGTTAAGGATGTTTAGGTTGACATTCACATGGTGAGGGAATTGCTTGTCTTCAGTATTTGTGCATCCTGGATTTTGTGGGATTGCAATTCCTGACTTCACTATAACCACCAGGCACATCAGCAACAGCAGTGACTGAAACTGAATGGGAAAGGAGAGAAGAGTGGTGGATTGGATTAGTACATGGGTTTTAGAAACAATTGTGATGGCAGTTGCATTGCTATTTATTCTATAAGTTCCAGGACAATCTATAGTACATTTTGAGGCCAGTTAAATGGAAAAATTGGTTACATGAGCAAGATATTGTTAAGACCATGTAGGGTTTTTTTTCTTTTAAATCAGACTTAAAACATTCTTCCATGTGCATAGAAAAGACATTATTCATTTACTAGTAGTAGTTTTAGTAAAATGGTAAATCTTCATCCTCTTAGCCTAGATTTTTAGTAAACATTAGTACTTATCAGTACCATGTGACACTTCTGATGTGGTTAGTTCCAATGCAGTTTTCAGTTTTAATCTCATCTTTCAAATTGATGTATATCAGTTCTTGAAAATGCTGCACACTGAGTAAGTATGCCAAAGCTTCCATTTAAAATCTATGTATACATTGTTAGACTGTAGAATTTCTTGCCTGCAGAAACATCTAGAACAAATCAATAAGGACATTGCACATTCGTGCAGGACTCACCATAGATGAGGTTTTCACAGGAGCCATTCTGATGAACTGTGCTGGTGAAGTGTGAAATGGACAAAGTGTAGCGCTATCGCTTCTGTTTTTATAGGACTTTGCTTGCGGTCGCGTACGTTGAATTGGTGTGTCAGTGGATTCAGATGACGTCTTTTAGTTTAATGTTCCATTCAAAATAGGTCAAAATGGTAAAAAATTCTCTTTATGACAGTTACTTCAGAAGGAAAATGGGAAGAATAGAAATTCTTGATTTTTAAAGACTACATCATCTCTTCCTTCTTCAAGGAATAAGGCAAAGTCACTTTATTTATGTGCTGTCCTAACCTTTATTCCCCTCAGAAGTGTATTTCAGTACATACACCTCTTCTGCTCCCCACTCTGACTCTGGTGAATCTTCTCACTTCTCACACCTCTGGTCTGTATCCCAGTTCTTGTATGCATAAATTATTTATGGGCATTTGTGAAACTGCCAGAACTATGTTGTATTTTGGTAGAGAAATAAAAGGTTAACACAACATTTATGCTTTGGCTTCCTATTTGATTATTCCTTTCCGCATCAGACTCACTGTCCAGATGTTGTGGAGACATTTTCCAGAAACTACTAACGGTCTTTCCAAGTAAGCAAATAAACAAATGAATAAGTAAATTAATGATGACAAGATGTGCTACATTTTACTGAATTTAACACCTGCCTTATTGAATGCTCTGCTCAGGGGTCTAGGTAGCTAGGTTCAAGGACATGGCATTTACTATTATAAGTGTATCTGCCACTTGACATGTTACCAAGCGACTTTGTTAACTCATGCAATTTTTCAGGAGTGAGATGGAGATGGTCCATTAAGGAGATGCAGGCAAATGGAAGTGATTGGAAATGGAGATAAATGACTACAAGAAATGTGATGAAGGGCCCTCTCTGGTGGTGCAATGGGTTAAAGAGCAGCACTCTGAAGCTATCTGCAGCCACTGCAGCATGAGTTTGATCCCCTACCAGGGAAGAGACCCATATGGCACAGCAGACCTCTCCAGTCTCACCCTTTACTCTCCTCAGCAGTGTATTTCAATACATCTACCTGTTCTGCTCCCCACTCTGTCTCTGGTGAATCCTCTCACTTCTCATACCTCTGGCCTGTACCCCAGTTCTTGTATGCATAAATAAATAAATCTTCAGAAGAAAAAGAAAGGTGATGGAGAGAATGATAAGAACAGGCAGGGAGAAGAGGAACGAGTGGGCACAAGAAGGAAAGAGAGAAGGAAATGCCTCTTTCCTTCTTCTTCCCTCCAAGAGAGACAGAATTTGATTTCAGGTCCTTGAGACTAGCACCTCAGAAACATAATAATAATAAATATGATGATAATAATAATGATAAAGATGAATGACCAGTGGCTACAGATGTGGCTGGCTACATGTCACCTCCTTTGTACCCCTCCAATGAGGACAATGGCTCCCAGTCCTAGCTGGTATCTAACATGAAACATGGTAGTGTTTCACCTAACTCCACATTGGGGTATATAAGAAGTTTGCTAGATTGTGTGCTTGTTTCTCCTATGATCCATTTCTCCTTGCCTTTCTCTATTTTGTAGCTCAGATGACTAAACCTATAGGCAGTGTTCTCACACTGCCTTCTCAGCTGGCTTTCTGTTGGATTCAGCCCAAGGAACATTGATGGACAGAAGAGCAGGAGTGGGGTGAAGGGAAGAAGGCAGCTAGAGTCTCCTCACTCTGTGTTCCAGATCACTGCTTCTCTGTCTTCTTACCGTTGGGTGGAAGCAGTCTCTTGCTGATCTAATCTCAATCACTATGGTAACCAGATTCCTGAGTTAAATTTCTAATGTTATCTAAAGTGACTCCTCTTTTCCTGGATAGATATTAGTAAGAAAGACAATGAACAGCTGCATCTCAGTTTGATGATAGATGAGTTAATAAATGAAGATGATACAAGCAGAAGAAGATAATAGGATGCAACTTGGAAACTTTCCCTATCTTTGAGGTTGACTTTATCATCACTCTTTTTTTTTTAAATTAATTTTTTTTTTTTTTTTTGGGAACTGGGATACAGGCCAGAGATGTGGAGGGTGAGAGGATTCACCAGGGACAGAGTGGGGAGCAGAACAGGCATCGATGAAGGACACTGCTGAGGGGAGCAGCGGGCGGGTCAGGAGAGGTCTACCTCGCCATGAGGATCTCCTCCAGGGCAGGAGGGAATCGAACTCATGTGGAAGTGGCTTTAGCTTCTTAGTGCTGTGCTTTAATCCGCTGCACCACCAGGGAGGGCTGACTTCATCATCACTCTTAAAGACACATAATCACTGTAGGCTCTCCTGCCTCCTGTACATGCATTCAGGTAGCAATCTCAGAAGTTGCTATGCTTCTCACATCTGATCCCTGTCTCAGACACCTGCCATTCCATGACACAGGTTCTTACCCACTTTGACTGTTTTAAACTCACTCACTCTTTCCAATTACCCTCTGCCCATCTTCAGCATTCCAGAATCTATGATTCTGAATGTATGGATCTGCTTATGCCTTTGCTTGGCCCATTAGTTGTGTGTACAGAAAAAAATGCAATCTCCTCAGCATTTGCATTGATTTTGAGTTTTACTTTTCTTTCTTTCTTTTCTAAAGATGTATTTATTTATGCATATGGAACTGGGGTACAGGTCAGAGGTGCAGGAGCGATGAGAGGATTAACCATAGTCAGAGTGAGGAACAGAACAGGAAGACTGAGGGGAGCAGCGGATGGGACAGGGGAGGTCTGCTGTGCCATGTGGGTCACCTCCAGGGCAGGATTGAACTCACGGTGAAGTGGACATGGCCAGCTTCACAGCACTGTGCTTTTACTCACTGCACCACCAGGGAGGGCCTGTCGGCATAGCTCTTGCAAGATCTTGACTGACATCTGGGCTTGGATACTGGAAGGCATGTGAAAACACATACATGTTGGGAGAACGCTCTCGAGTGCCGGGTCTGGGCTCCAAGAAAATAGGTCATGTGAGCAAGCAGCCACGTCTGAGAAAGGTAGCAAAAGAGCATATCAGAAGTGTCCAGGTGGGTGCGAGGGCTCACTATCTGGGGCAGGACAGGGTGTTCCAAGAAATAGAACACCAGATATAGAGTTGGAATAAGCCAATGTGCTATTGTTACTGCTTGAGAATATCTATATGAAGTCAATATGCTGTTGTTACAACTTGATAATACAGAATATATAAAGAGCACACTGCAAAATAAAGATTTACTGCATGCTGGACATAGTAGTCATCCCTCTGGTTTGTCATTCACAGGCGCCCCAGGTCCCAGACCCCTAGAGTTCCAGAAGGGCCCCTTAGTTTATAGTTTCACTTCCCACCATGCTCCATGACCCAGGCTCACGGTTTTGATTGTCCTCCTGCCAATGCCTTTTGGCCTTTTGTTAAGAGTAAGTGTGACCTCTGAAATGCCTTCCTCCCACCTCAGTTTATCAAAATGCTTCTTGTTCTAGATTCCCTTCAAATATATCTCCTGGGTCTGGCAGTCACTTCTGATGACCTCAGCATGAATAGTTCCCACATCATAAGCTTATACCTATCTGTTTTTTCCAAATAATTACAATTAGAATTCTACACTGCTATGTTCCCCCCAAATATAAATTTGTTACTTTAGGTTGATTGATTAGATTTGGCAATGGAGATTTTATTTA